TGCAGTGAGTTATCAGTACTTAGTAGGGTACCCTTTATTTTTTATTACAGCTTCACATCGACGTTTCATTGAGTGACAAGATTTAAGCTCTTCTTGTTATTACATATGCCAGGAAACATTATAGCCTCAATTAGTTCCCTTTTATTTGATGGGCGCCTCATTCGGACAAAGGTTTCAAACGGTTCCACAAATTTTCGATAGGATTGAGGTCAGACTGTTCCTGGCCATGACACATTTAATGCTCTTTGTAAAACACTCTTCGATATTTTGGCCGTGGGCAAGGAGCAGAATCCTCTGAAAATAAACGAAGCATTTGGGAAAGAAATTCTGATGGAGGTTATAAGTTTTGGTTCTAGAATAGTGTCAGTGTATTTTCTGGATTCAGGTCCCATCGATGACATGAAGGCGACCAATACCATCTGCTGAAAGCATGACCAACCTACACTAGCTGGGTTCTTCACAGTTGCTTGAATGATCAGGATGATAGCTCTTCTTTATTTACGTCTTGCAAATTTCGCCCATCAATACGAATAACGTATCTTAGTTTCTCACTCCATATAATTGACACATCATCTGTCCAAATGTGTTCCTTTGCCCACGTAGTCTTTTTTTTTCTCGCTGCTGAAATTAAGATAAGGCTTTTTTTTTTTTTCTCATCCAGTCCACACCTGTAAATATCGTCTCCTAATGTTCGTGAACTGACAGCAACACCAGTCATTCAATCACTTCTGAGGGCGTGATGACATTTTCTATCTTGGAGACATAGCCTTTTATTCTTCTGTATCAATGGATGTGGTGCACCTTTTCGGCCTTTTCCTCTTTGTTTTTTATGAATTTGTCTTCTGATCGTAAAAAAACTTTCAGACTCCAGATGTAGTCACTGAACCACCTACCTGTCTTTCAATTTCAGCATAGGAAAGACCACTTTCTCGTAACACAATAATATTAATCTTTCTAGGTGTCCAACCTACTTTTTATTTGATGTCATTGCTTGACTAAATATAAAAATTTTCACAAAAATTCCTACTTGTACTGGCAGTGCATAAGAAACAGTCCTCCTCTACAGAACAAAACAAAAATGAATGTTTCAGGTAAACATGATGCAGCTTCTCTAGTTAATAATTGATTGGTTTCAGAACAGAACAGTGAGGCCAGGAACTAGACATTACAAAAACTTCATAACTGTGTTTTTTATTTTTTTGTATTAAAGTACATTAAATAATTAATTTTGCATTTGTATTGAATTCAGTAAAAATTCTCTTTAAAAGATATACAGTTTGAATTTGCGAAATGTAACATTTTCTATAAGCATACAAAGTTTAAAAACATAAAAATTTCCAAAAGTGTCCACAATTTTGACCACCACTGTATAGCACTATCCTAACTATTTTGACACCAAAAGCGGACTTTTTCTGAAATACCATACCAATTTTTTTACATATTTTGATTCTACAACTCAAACTATGCCCAAATATTAAATTTTGTAAAATTTGGTGTGAAATTTATGGATAAAAGCAAACATTTATGTTGGCGTGTTTTTTTCATTTTGAGTCAAGAATAGTTCACTTGGCAAACTTCTTAATATATGGCAATCTATTTTCCTTTCCCTTTTTACATTGAGTGTGAAGGGAAAAAAGTCACATCATCCTTTCTTTCAAATAATGTTCTTTTATATATTATTTTTAACTACAATTATTCTAAATATTTTATTTTATTTTTCGAATTTCATTTTAATTGTTTAAGTTGCATGGTTTCTTTCAAATAACTGTTTTAAACTTTCTATTTACTCATTTGAACTGCGTAATTTAAATAAAAAGTTCATTGTTTATTTTTTCCAAATAGTTTCCTTTATACTATATTTTTTAGTCATAGTTTTTATTTTAAGTAATTTTTAGACTTTTTTTTTAAATTATGTTGCATTTTCTCTTCAGATAATTGTTTTAAAATTTTCTATTCATTCATTCGAACTGAGTATTTTAAATATATATACGTATAAATTTTCCAGAATTTAATTTTATTTCTTTGATTTGATTTCAGAAGAATACTTTGTGACCCAACTACAATGCGTTTGAAAATTGCCCATATTAAAAGAGAAAATACCGTAAAGCACAGTTAACACGTCTTTCAATGTTCCATTCAGAAAAGATATATAAATAAGAGAGATGTGTATCCGACATTTTAATTTAGGATGACTTGCATACCATTTATCATTGTGTCCATTGCTTTACACATTTTATCATCCTACATTTAATTTTTTAAAAATATTATTCATATTTTAGTCAAACATTTTATTTTTGAAAACGTAAAAATTAAATATCATAAAATTAAAAAATTTTAAATTACAAAAAATACTAAATTTAAAAAAAATTTTTTTTCTTAATGGCTTGCTCTTTTTCAGGCATTCTGCAAGTATATTAAAAAAGCATCCAACTTTTCAAAATATCTTGGTATTTCTGACATTCATTTTAAATAAAGTTATTGCCTTCGATTTCATAAGGATCCACAAACGGCCGAGCGGCAAAGTCGCTGAACACTGGTAGTTTGCTACGGGTTTGAATCCTGGCAAACGGGCTGGATGCATGGGCGTTTTCGTGGTTTTTCTCATCTGTAGCGTCATCTGATTTCCCTTAGAAAGATCTGCACGAAGGCATCCCTCCTTTTACGCAGATAGCCCTGCTTTGCCGTAACTTAATAATCCAATTCAAACCATTTCATCAGTATTTGGTCACGGCCTTTATCAGTCTTTAGATGCTAGGCATTTTGAAGGCATGAGATGAAAGGAAAGACTGGTTTCATCAAGAGGGAAAACTTTTTTTAATATTTATATGCATCACTTGATAAAATCCTAAATCTTCAAATAATTTGACTGAGAAATCATGGGATGCTCGGTGTATGATATGATATGATGTTCTATGAGGTAATTTAAATTTCTACAACCATATAGTCAAAAACCAGTCAATCCTCACTTTAATGTGCAATGATATCGTTTTTATCTTTTCCGTTAGCACAAACTCGATATCGTTTTTGTCTTTTCCGTTAGCACAAACTCAATTGCTGCTATTTGATGGTGTACACATCTAAGTGCTTTCTCTTTGAACACGCAACTTCCCTGAAGTAGATTCTGCTTTAAATTTTTGCTTTTTCCCAACTAATTTTCTTCTTACCTTCTACATTTGTTTTCAGGTGACACAAGAAAATTAAAGATTTTTCGATTGTTACATTTCCATAAATTTTGCATTCTTGTTAATTTTTTAAAATATCAGTTGCATCAAATGCATTTCAGCTGAAGACAGCTTTTCATTTTCTAGGCATTTTAACTATAAATAAAGTTTAACGCAAAGTCCAAAGGATAAATATTTGAATTAAATGATTTTTCTAAATGAAAAAGAAATAAACCATTCCAGCAGAGCTTATCCTGTACATGCAAACAATCTAAATCACATTATTTAGAGTTTTTAAGCCTAAAAATTTCTATATTAAAGAAGATTTTTTTTATATAATCTACAACAGGAGAGAAAATTACTACTTAAAATTCTTTCAAGAGAATAATGTAAAAAATTATATTTATATATAATGTTTTTTTAAAGCTGCGACATACCAAATTGTACGTCTGTTCTTAAAAACATTGTGAAAATAAACATCAAACAAACTTTCTCAGTTTAGACAATTAAATTTAAATGAAGTAAGTAGCACGATAACATGACAAAGGTAAAAATTTACTTTTACAAATAAAAAAAATGAGATTAAAAAAGTTTAAAATTGACTAATAATCTATAATTAAAAATAGCTTGGCTATGCATAATAAATATTTTATGCATCATGAGGGGAAATTTATATAATTAATTCTCTGTAAAATTTTATTGACTTAAGTTTAAAATAGATGTGGCATAAATGTACAAATCCCTAAACCAATTTCATTATTATCTCTCAAGAAAATGATGCCAAATTTCAAAATGGGCAAATATGTAAATTCGCGTATAACGTATAAAAATGAATAAAAACTGTAATTTTGCAATATTTGGAATACACCTACTTGAGATGTTTGGTTGAAAAATTTTATAGGTTATAATTCAAAATCTTTTTGAAAAATTTATAAAAATTATTTTAAAATCAATTTTAAATAAACATAAGAAAGGTTGAATTTATTCGAATAAACCTAAATTGAATGCAAAGGAAGAATAAGTAATAAATAAATATACCAAATTTCAATTGACATTGAGGAGCAAATTTTGAGAACTAATTTTTAAAAACTACCCGGATTTTTACAAACTTTGTAGCTGCCATAATTTGAAACCGAATCAAAATATGGGAAAAAAAAGTGGTATGTCTTTCATAAAACTCCGATTTTGTCAAAATACCTTATAGAACAATGCTATATAAAATCTAATACTATCCTATGTCGTGCTTTCGAGACATGAAGAACACAATTTTAATTTCGGGGGGGGGGGGGCAGTGTACAATGAATCTATAACATTAATTGCATTATCATAAGATTTTGAATCATTAATATATTGATAACACTTGCAAACACGAAATTACATAAGACTGTAATTTTGTATCTGTTGTAGTTTTGTTTCCTCAGTTACTTCATTCACTCCTGTTAGGAAATTTGTTTCCACTTAGATTCTGTACCAATATAGGTGGAGTCAACAAATCATCCCGGTTTCAAATGATTTGTTGACACCACCTGTTTCAAATCAAATCTTTCTGGTTTCAAAAGGGTTTCCATTTTAGAAAACAAAAAAAAAACAAAAAAAAAAAAAACCCATAGTTGATTAAATTGTTGTAAATACAGTAAATTTTTTAAGACGCTCCAATAAAGCTTTAATAAACTAAAACTGCACATGAAACAGAATACTAAAAGCTACATTTTCACAACATTTAAAAGAAAAATAACTGTTGTAATTCCATGTTTTGGTAGTCAGTAATAGTAAATAATAATGACATAATACTGTACTAAATGTTCATTAAAATAGTTAAAAGACAAATCAGTAACATACTTTCAGCATAACTGGTACATAAAACACCCTTTCAGTAAATTCATTTTTACTTCCCATTTCAAATAGCAATTGCAGGTGTAATTCAGCAAAATATGTGCTACCTCGTATTCTGGCCTATAAAACAAAGTTTTACTATAAATATATCTTTGAATTAAGACATGAAAATTTTAAAAGAGTAATAAAAAACAGAATAGGGAATAATGAATGAAAGCCTTGAGAAAAATCAGCAATAAAGATCCAAGAAACTTTTCGAAAACAGTATTAAGGGGACTACCGTTTAATTAGTTCAACCATAAATTCAAGAAGTATTACACTTGCATTTTAAAATTTGAAAAACAAGTACTTAAAACATATTGCATTCTGATTTACACTAAAATGCAATATAATAACAATCCATTTCTGCATGTATAAGGATCTCAAATGAAAAATCATGTTCCCTCAAATCTTTTTCTAACACACATAAGTATTTTTGAAAATGAATTAACAAATCATCTGTTCCTTATAAACATCAGGTCTCCAACGAAGAAGTGGTAAAAATGAAAGAAGGTTACAAAAGCATTTCATTAAGGTAATTAAATTATGTCAACAAATGTAGGATTTTTCTACCTATACATTTAATGTAGCAGAATGTGAAATGTTTCAAACTTCAGTTTATTGTTATATAACAACAGTCCTCTAAGTAGCTGGATTTAAACCAAAAGCTATATAACCACGGACTTATAATAAAGTTTTAATGGTCCACATACAAGGACCACAGGAAACTGTACACATCGGGCTCTCCCCCCCCCCCGAAAATTAATCAATCTCAGAACATGGCTATAAACAAAAAACATTTCGTTATATTTGAGGATACTTTCATCAAGGACGACAAAAACTGTACTTGTTCAAA